GATGATATATGGGCAATGTGCAGCTTCTGAGTCCATAGGCCTTCCTCACTGTCCTTGCTGGGCTGTGTGCACTCAAGTTCGGGAGAGTAAAAGTTCATCACCCATTGCATATTTGTTTCCCACACACACCATGCATTCATTCAGGAAGGAGGAACCATAAGGGGAACTTACAGAACTTAACGATAACAATTCAGCTTTACATCAGTTATAACTTGCAAACAGAGAACAATGTCCTTCGCCCTCAACAGTAGTGGCTTCTGGTTAGCATAACCAGCAGCTTCAACTACCTCAACAATTGTTTGTAGCAATGGTTCTCAACCTTTCCAGACTACTGTATCCTATTCAAGAATAAGATTTGTCTTGCGTAATCCAAGTTTCACCTTACTTAAAAACTACTTGCCTACAAAGTCAATGTACTGTGACACTTCTGTATTTTTTACCTCTGTAACTGAAAAATTGCTTACTTTATCATTTTTACCATATAATTATAAAATAGATCAATTGGAATATGAATACTGTACAGGTTGAACCTCTCTGTTCTGGCACCATTGTGACCTAACTGGTCCTAAACTAGAGAATTTGCTGGACCAGGGGAAGTCAATATCCATCCCTCTGCTACTGCCAGCTCCAGCGCTCTGCTCCCAGCTGCCGGTCCTTAGGAGTCCACTCCCATTGGACACCTGGGCTCTGCTCTTCCCTAGTCTGGCAAAGCTCCTGGCCTCAGCCTGCTTGTTTTTCCCCATAATGCTCCAGCCCTAGAGCACCGATGGAGTCGATGATGATGCCACTCCATGAGTGATGCCAGACCAAGAAAGTCCGAATCACAGAGGTTCAATCTGTACTTACATTTCAGTGTATATCATAAAGATCAGTATACACATATTACTGTATGAAAATTTAGTTTGTACTGACTTTGCTAGTGCATTTTATGTAGCCTATTGCAAAACTAGGCAAATATCTAGATGAGTTGATGTACCTCTTGGAAGGTGTCTGCATACCCTAAGGAGTATGTATACCCCTGGCTGAGAACCATTGGTCTATAGATGAAATAATCAGTTCTAGACAGCCATTAGTATCTTCCAGTGTAGCACCTTTCCCCATTTCAACTCTACCCATAGTCCAATAGGTTTTAAACTGATGACACATTGAATGACTTCTCTTCCCGACAGAGAGAAAATAGGTTAGAATGGTAAGGGGAGATTGGGGAGCGTACAGAAACTTTCATATGGGGAAGAATGGGAGACACTGGTATGGCAGTGAAAAGGGCAGGAGGAGGGAATCTGGTACACACAGAGCCCTTGGCATGAGGGCAGATTGCAGAACATCCCAAAAGGGGAGGGCTGGGAAGGTAGCAC